GTCCTGGACGCCGGCGGAGACCAACGCACTGATCGCCGTCTGGGGCAACGAGCGGCTGGTGGAGGCGCGGTACCAGCAGCTGGAGGGCGCCGGCACCGTCTTCGGCAGCAAGGCCCCCGGGCCCGCCATGTACGAGCGCGTCTCCCGCGCCCTGGCCGAGCTGGGCTACGAGCGCACACCCTCGCAATGCCGGGAGCGCATCAAGGTACCCCGGCGGGAGGCGGGCGGCTCGTCCCCGGGGAGGTGACAGGAGAGGGGGGAAGGGGCGGCCCGGGTGTTCCCGGGGTCATCTCCTGGGACACCTTTTGGCCCTGGGAGTGGGGGCAGCCCTCCCGTGGGATCGCCCTTCAGGGTCCCCCCATGCGAGCCCATTTTCTGGAGCCTTTTTTTGGCCGTGGGGGTGGGGTCGCTGTGGTCCCAGGGCTCAGCCCAGCCTGTGGCCTCGGGTGTGGGGGCACTGGGTCCCCTGAGCTCAATCTCTCCAGGATCTCCCCTGAAGCATCCTTTGAGCCTGGTTGCGAGCATCCGCTGGGCTCGGATTTGGGAGTACCATGTGCCCTGGCCTCATCTGATCAGGGTCTCTCCCAGCAGACAGTTTTCTGGAGCATCTTCAGGCCCTGTCTGTGGGCATCCTCTGGGCTCAGACCCATCCTTTGGTCCTGAGTGTGGGGGCACTGCAACCCCTGGGATCACCCCCTCAGGGTTTCCCCATGCAGGCAGTTTTCTGGAGCGTCCTTTGGCCCTGGCTGTGGGTGTCCTCTGGATGTGAGGCACTCTTATCGCCTGGGCTCAGCTGCCTGTCTCCCAGCAGCACCTAGTTGTCATCTTCTGGACCGGGGCAGGCTGGGTGCCACGTCCTGTGGGTTCCACACCTGCGGCCTCCAGAAGTGTCTTTCGCACCCAGGCACTGCATCCTTTGGGTTCAGCCACTCTGTTCCCCCATGTGAGTGGGCTGTGGCAGCACTCTCCAGCCCTGAGAGTGGGGCATATGCTGTCTCAGCTGTTCGAGTCCCCTCACATGGATCATTTCCGCTGGGATTTTGGGGCACCACATTCCCTGAGTTGCCTTCTTTGGCCTTAAGTGTGGTGGGCACCGTGGCCCTGGGTGGGTTGACTCAGTCCCTTCCATGTCCACCAGCCTCTTCTGTCTGTGAAAGGGCGGCACTAGCTGCTCCTTGAAGCCCCCATGGGAAAAGGGGGCTTCCAGTTGCTCCAGTAACAAGGGTGGCTCAGGCTCTGGTTGCCCTCTTACACTTGGGGCTCCCTCTTTTGCTTTGCAGTTGCTTTACAGGGTACAATGTCTTCCCCTGGCTCGCACCAGAGCATGTTGCAGTCTCAGAAACCTCTTTAAGAATTGAGCCATGTTAAACAGCCCGATGGGCTGCATTTCCTCTGGCAGCACGTTTTAAAGAGGGATCTTTCCACTTGCATCATTCCCTGAGGAAAAGGGAAAGGCTGGGTTTGGTGTCCAGCTTGGGAGCAGCAACTCCATGTGTCCCACTTTTACGAAAAGGGATATTTGGAGAGACTGTGGATGGCGTGGGAATTGCTGTGGATTTTCAGTTTATAAACATGAATGAAGCTTGCAAGGGCAATTAAATGTTCTGAGCTTCCTCCAGCTTTTATTTTCCCCTTTTGTGACCCATTAGACTGCCCATGCAGCCGCTTAAAATGCCGACTGATTTTAAAAAAGTAACATCTTGTTATTGCTAAGGATCAGCAAGGCTGTTTGCTTCTCTTCTGTTAAGTACAGCTGTGCCAGCACAGTCAGGCTGGGAATCTCCAGGCATATACACCCAGGCTGCCTTTGATTTGCAAAATATGTGAAATAAGGGGTTCTGCAGTATGGAGGATGCTCAGAAATAAGTAAGAGACTCACCCTTCAATCCCTGTTAATTAGAACAGTCCTCTGTCCCTGAAGGTAGCTGGCCAAGCAACCCCCCTTCCTATAGCTGTTTTAGTTTCTTAATGTATTTTCCTGTTGTCATCTTGTTGCTTCTGTGTATTTGCTGCTCAGGGATTTATTTCCCTTGAACACATCGAAATATTTTTTGAGAGGGATGTTGCTGCACTGCAAAACCTCTTCCAGACCCTTGTTTTCTTAGTGGTTTTCAAGGTGCTTCTTGCTTAAATCACTTCTTATGTGAAACTTTGGGCTTTGCCAGTGGCTGATGCACACTGGAGAAATTTGGCTTTGTCCGTAAGACTCTGATGGTTTTGGGTTGTGGGGGGTGTTTATGCAGCAGCTGTAGAGGACTGCTACCCCAATTTTGGCTGCAGGCTCTGTGACTTATGTTTTTGAGGAGGCTAAGTGTGGTTGTGAGAAGTCTCCCTAGTAAAGCAGCCCAGAACTGGCTGTTTAGTTTCAGACAATGCTTTTGCATGGAGCTGGTCATGGGTTGTGGCTGCTTTGGGGCCAGAGCAAGCATTTTGGTGACTGCTGGAAGATCCCATCTTCCCAGGAGTTGAGGAGCTTTTTGCAGAGGAGGACTTCTGCCCCTTTCCTTTAAGAAGTGGTTCTTGAACACATCTTTGCCCATGAAATGTTCAAGCTTGAAAGAAACCACACATCACTTACCTATCAAACAGGGAATAAAAGACCCCAAGGCTTATATTTTTGACCTTGCAATGGCTCCAAGAGCAGCTCTTGACAGACCTGTCAGAGATTCCTGGATCAACACGGGATATGTTGGGATGGACTCCTCTCCAATACCTGGTTGAAAGGTCTGGCTGGAGGGGAGTTATCAGGTTTCCATCTGCGTCCTGTCCTGTGCCTGTACTCGTTTGTGGGTTGGCCTCTCCTCGGGCTGTCCATCAGGTGAGGAACAGCTGTTCAGCGCCAGCTGTGTCTGGTGCTCATTGATAAAGACCCTCACGGGGGGCTTTTGCATCTCAAATGTGCTCCAGAACAGTGCTGGCTGCCTTGTCCTACACCCATCGTGCTGCTACCTGAGCTTTTGCGTGTCCTGGATCCCCACTGCGAGTGGGGATCAGTGCAGTCACCTGGAGGCACAAATTTTCCCAAAGCCTTTGGGCTTGCCGTAGGTTTTTCCCTGGAATCACTGTGAAGTCAAACCTGGGGTTTCTCACAAGAGCCAAGTGCTGACCTTGTCCTGAAGATTATTGAGATAGTTGTGGTAGCTGCTGCCAAAGCCAAAATCCTTTTTTTTTTCTTTTTTTGTGTGTGTGTGTGTGTGTGTAAGATTGGCTGCTTGACTCTTTAATGCTCAACCAAGAGCAAAAATCGCTTCTGGGTGTGGAGGGGTCGATGCCTGGAGGCATCTTTAAGACAGAGTAGGACCACTTGAATGCGCTGTTGGAACAAGGGGAGGTCGCAGGCACTTCGTAGTCTCCACTGTTGGCTGTCCAAGCTGAAAACAGAATCGGGGAGATGGTGGTAAAGGAGCACATAGCTGCATCGTTCCATTTATTATCCATAACGTTCCATATTTCCATGATTTTATAGGATACTTAATGCCCATCAAGGGACCGTAGCATGAGGATTTGCTGATTTGTTATAAATGTAAGTCGTGCTTAAAACGTAGTGGATTCAACTTATTTTATAAATGCATTTTAGATAAGAACTCAATATTGGCTTTCTTCAGGACACCTGCCTTCCCCGGACTCTGCCAAATCTTGAAGAGTGAGTTAGAAATGAGCTGGAAAGGAAAAAGTCAACTCCGAAGAAGAAAGTTTTCCAGTTGATCGCGTAGATGCATTCTCTCCTAATTCAAACAGGATGCAAAGTAAGGTCCCAGTTCAGATTTTCGTCTGTCTCTTAACATCTGCATGTGCTTTTCTGCACATAAGCAGCATTGGCCTGCAAGCTGGGAATGAGACCGCTGTTGGGTTTGAGCCACTCTGGAAGTGTCTGTTTCAAATTTAGGGATTCATACGTAACTGTTCCAGCAGCTTTTCCTGGTTTCTTCCTTCAGAAAGAGACCTTGAAGCCGACTTTGTGGCTCTGAGGTCAGTGGACTGGTGAGTTTGGCAACTGGGAGCTGCAGGAGGGCTGAAACATCTCGATTTCTGCCAGTTGGGTTTCCAGAAAAGCTGTCTTGTGCTCTGGAGTTTTCTCATCCTGCCATGTCAAGTTGTAGCTTAATCCTTGCTTGTTTAGTAATTTATTCTGACTGTCCTTACAACACAGAGCTCTCGTTAGAGGAGTTTACTAAAGCGCACATGCTTTACATCCAGCCCTCCTCCTGTTTCCTAAGTGTGTTCATGGTCAAGGATTTATCCTGGCTTGTGTATCCTGAAACTCCTCACCTCTCTGCAGCAGTGTGTGGAGAGCCTTTATGTTTTAAGGTTTGACCTTAGCGCTGGTGTTTTAAAGTAGATGATGGAATACTTGGCAAAACCCTGCCCAGACGTGCATGCTGATTTTGTGCCCTTCGCCTGGCGGTAGTGTTTCAGCCGGAGAGCAGGAGGTCAGCTGTTAACTCAAGCTGCTTTTAACCACAGAAAAATGAGCTGTTGCCTCATGCTGTGAAGCTGCCGTCTGAAGGCCAAAAGCCAACGTATCCAGTCTGTATTCTTTGAGATCACTTTCCATTGGGTAATACGCTGGGATGTCGTCGTTTCATCCTCTTCCAGCCTTCACACATGGCTGCAGTGTCAGGGGGATGCTCTGAGGAAGTGCAGGTGAGCTCAGGTTTTATGGTGGCTGCTGACCAGTACAAGTCAAGGATAATTTTCAGGCAGTAAAGTCTTTATTTTAAATGAGTGTTCCTGAAATTACGTGGTCTGGTTGGTTGTTCAGTGCTGAACCTTAGGCATTTTTTTTAAACCTGTGGAAGAATTTCCGCTTCTATTGCGTGCATCGTTCTTCATGGAAGGTGAAATCAAAGACTTGCTCTCCTGAAAGTGCTTTGTTTAGCCGAGCTGCAAGAGCGTTTCAGTGCTAGGAATTCCCTGGCTGGGGTTGCAGCTGGCGAGCTTTTCACGAGCAGAAAGAAATCGCTCCTTAAAAAGTTACTGTTCAGCTGTGGGAGATGGTTAAAATGAATTCAGGGGCCTTTAACGTGTCATTTCTTCAGCTACCACGGAAATGCGGGATCTGCTTATATTTTGCGAGCGAGCTGCTGAAATTTGTTTGCCCGGAGTTGGTGCCAAGCCATTTGTTCAAA